TATGAGATTGACCCCTTGACCCCAAAATCAATAGGGGTCATCTACTGGTCATGACCAATCATCATACCAAGTTTGAAGATCCTAGGCCTAAGCGTTCTTTAGTTATTGATCGGAAACCGTTTTTACCTACAAGGTCAATGTGACCTTGACCTTGGACCACTTGACCCCAAAATCAATAGGGGTCATCTGCTGGCCATGACCAATTATCATACCAAGTTTGAAGTTTCTAGGCCTAAGCGTTTTTTAGTTATTGATTGGAAACCGTTTTTACCAACAAGCTCAATGTGACCTTGACCCTTGACCCAAAATTCAAAACGGGTCATCTGCTTGTCACGACCAACCATCATAAAAAGTTTGAAGTTCCTAGGCCTAAGCATTCTTTAGTTAATTGATCGGCAACCCTTTTTACCTACAAGGTCAATATGACCTTGACCTTTGACCCCTTGACCAAAAAATTAATAGGGGTCATCTGCTGGTCATGACCAATCCCCATACCAAATTTGAAGTTCCTAGGCCTAAGGGTTCTTAAGTTATTGATCAGAAACTGTTTTTTACCTATAAGGTCAATGTGACCTTGACCTTTGAGCCCATAACCCCCTATATAGGGGTCATCTGCTGGTCATGACAAATCATCATACCAAGTTTGAAGTTCCTAGGCCTAAGGGTTCTTTAGTTATCACTCGGAAATCGTTTTTACCCAAGAGGTCAATGTGACCTTGACCTTTGACCCCTTGACCCCAAAATAGATAGGGATCATCTACTGATCATGACCAATCACCATATCAAGTTTGAAGTCCCTAGGCCTAAGGGTTCTTTAGTTATTGATCGGAAAAAGTTTTTACCTAAGAGGTCAATGTGACCTTGACCTTTGACCCCTTGACCCCAAAATAAATAGGGGTCATCTACTGATCATGACCAATCACCATATCAAGTTTGAAGTCCCTAGGCCTAAGGGTTCTTTAGTTATTGATCGGAAACCGTTTTTACCTAAGAGGTCAATGTGACCTTGACCTTTGACCCCTTGACCCCTAAATCAATAGGGGTCATCTACTGATCATGACCAATCCCCATACAAAGTTTGAAGTTCCTAGGCCAAAGGGTTCTTTAGTTATTGATCGGAAACCGTTTTTGCTTAGAAGGTCAATGTGACCTTGACCTTTGACCCCTTAACTCCAAAATCAATAGGGGTCATGTACTGGTCATGACCAATCACCATACCAAGTTTGAAGTTCCTAGGCCTAAGGGTTCTTTAGTTATCACTCGGAAACCATTTGGTCTACGGACCGACGGACCGACAAGTGCAAAGCAATATACCCCCTCTTCTTCGAAGTGGGGGCATAATTAACAATAAATTTATTCTTAAATGTCATAATCATGCTATTTCAAGTATAGTTTTACCAAGTTAGTACTGAATATTTAATCTATGAGGTTTGTAGTTTCAAAATAACTGTAGAGTTGATTCCAGTGTCCTTTTTACAAGGGCTGTCGGTAGAACAGCACATGCGACTATTTTTAGTGCTTCAATAATGTAAACTTTTCTAAGTTCACAAAATGGCTAATATTTTTCTAAATATAGGTTACAGTTATAGGCCTTATTATGGTCACAAAGAAGTGTATAAAATTTCAGCTTGTTTCCAAGCCAGATGTCAATGAAATATGAAAATATCTGAGGTGGTACACAAACTTTAATGTAAATTTTAAGTCGAAAAAGGGACATAATTTCGCCAAAATGCTTGATAGTAACCTTCTCCTGTGTACAGGTTGTGGAATTAGTGTGCAAAGTTTCAAAGCAATGTCAATGGACTTTGAAAATATTAGAAGTGGTACGCAACCATCTTTAACGTAAATTCCAATTAAAAACAAGGGTGCCATAGTCACAAAATAGGCCCGTTTACGAAAGCTTTAGATTGAGATGGGGGCATTACAGATAAGTGTTATCTAGCAAGCAAGTTTTTATCCTTGGCACTGTGTTGTTAAATGAACCTTAAAACAAATCAGTAGGGAAGATATGCACAGGATGTGTGACCTTGACCTTGGTCGCAGGGACCTGAATAATGCACGGCACTCAGCCTCACAATGATGAACATTTGTGCCAAATTATATTGAAATCTCTCTATGCATGCAGAAGTTTTGCTCCAGACAAGCCTTTTGCTATGAGCTCTAACTGTGACCTTCACCTTTGATCTAGAGACTTAGTTCATGTGCAGGGCACTCATCTCATGGTGGTGAACAATTCTATAAAGTTACATTAAAAATCCTCCATGCATGTAGAAAATATGCTCCGGACAACATCTGGATATTTAATCATCTCCAGTGACCTTGACCTTGCAAATATTAACCTAAATTAAATGTGTCACACCTGTAGTCATGATAGTTACCATTTGTGCTACAATCCATCAATAAATGATGACTAAATGGTCCCTATACACATCTTCAAATTTTTATCTGAACTTTGACCTCTATGTGTAACCTTGACTTTGGTCGCAGGGATCTGAATTTTGCGTGCAACACTCTGCCTCACAATGGTGAACATTTGTGCCAAGTTATATTGAAATCCCTCTATAAATGTAGAAGTTTTGCTCCGGACAAGCCATTTTCAATGAGCTCTAAGTGTGACCTTGACCTTTAACCTGGATCATGCATATAGCAATACATATCATGGTGGTGAACATTTCCATGAAGTATTATAAAAATTCTTCCATACATGTAGGAGATATGCTCCAGACAAAATCTGGATATTTCACCATCTTTAGTGACCTTCACCTTGCATATATTGACCTAAAGTACATGTGTCATAGCCGTAGTCAATATAATAACCATTTTTGTTACAATCCCTCAATAAATGATGATAAAATCGTCCCTATACACATCTTCATATTTTTATCTAAACTTTGACCTCTATGTGTGGCCTTGACCTTGGCTGCAGGGACCTGAATTTCAAGTTATATTGAAATCCCTCTATGCATGTGGAAGTTTTGCTCTGGACAAGCATTTTTCAATGAGCTCTAAGTGTGACCTTGACCTTTGACCTAGAGACCTAGTTCATGTGCATGACATGGCTTCTCATAATGGTGAACATTTCTATGAAATTTCATTAAAATCCCTCCATGCGTTTAGGAGATATGCTCCGGACAAAATCTGGTTATTTCATCATCTTTAGTGACCTTGACCTTGTATATATTGACCTTAATTATATGTTACACAGCCATAGTCTTGATAATGACCATTTGTGTTACAATCCCTCAATAAATGATGACTAAATGGTTCATATACACATCACCATATTTTTATCTGAACTTGGACCTCTCTGTGTGACCTTGACCTTGGCCGAAAGGACCTGAATCTTGCGCGCCACACTCCGCCTCACAATGGTGAACATTTGTGTCAAGTAATATTGAAATCCCTCTATACATGTGGAAGTTTTACTCCCGACAAGCATTTTTCAATGAGCTCTAAGTGTGACCTTGACCTTTAACCTGGATCATGCATATAGCAATACATATCATGGTGGTGAACATTTGACCTAGAGAACTGGTTCATGTGCGCGACACTGCTCCTCAAAGTGGTGAACATTTCTATGAAGTTTCATTAAAATCCCTCCATACATGTAGGAGATATGCTCCGGACAAAATTGGACGCCGCCCGCCCACCTGCCAGGGGCGTTCCCATAATACGTCCCGTTTTTCAAACGGGCGTTAAAAAGGTACAAAATTCTGTCAAATTAAATGCTAGATAGAGTTACCACCTCATGTCTACAGGTTGAAACAAGTGGTAATATGTCGATGGACTTCCAAAAAAGTAGAGGCGGTAAACAAACTTTAACATCATAAGTGGTTTCGCCGAGGCTTGGGTGACTAGGATAGCTCTATTTATCTAGAAATAGCAAAAATTGAAACATCATGAAAAGTACAGGATTTACAGAACATTTAAGGAAAATAAATGACCTGGGGTGGGGGCAAATTTTGACCCTAGGGGGTATTTTTAGTTTTTTAAAAATGGTACACATACACTAGAACATGTTTCATGCCAAATATCTGAGCTCTACTTCTTCTGGATTTTCACAAGTTTTTACTATATACAAATCAAGAACATCAATGAACCCTTGAGGGGCCTGGCCAATTTTGACCTTAGGGCTTTCATTTGAACAAACTTGGTAGCAATCCACTTGGAAGATGTTTTATGCAAAATATCAAAGCTCTAGCTCTTAGATTTTTTAAGTTTTAACTATATACATGTATATAAATGGAAAAATCAATGCCGCCCCCCCCCCCCCTGTTGGGCGGGGCTAACTTTGACCCTAGGGCTTTTATTTGAACAAACTTTGTAAACACCTTTTTAAAGATGTTTCATATCTAAGCTCTTTGGGTTTTTTAAAAAGATTTTAAAGTTTTCATTTTAGGCATAGAAGGAAAATCAGACCCCTGGGAAGGGGCCAATTTAACACCCAAGGCTTTTATTCGAACAAATTTTTACTAAACATACAAGGAAAATCAATGACCCCCGGGTTTGGCCAATTTTGACCCCACGGATTTTATTTGAACAGACTGGACACTCACTAGAAGACGTTTCATACCAAATATCTAAGCTCAAGCTCTTTGGGTTTTTTTTTAAAGTTTTTACTATATATACATTTATGGAAAAGGAATGACCCCCAGGGCTTTTACTTGCAAAAACTAGATCGACACTCACTAGATGTTTCATGCCAAATATCTAAGCTCTACCTTTTGGTTTTTTTTTAAAAGATGTTTTAAGTTTTTTCTCTTGGTTTCCATGGCAATCAATTATGAATGGAATTAAATTCTTTGATTTTTTTTTTAAAGGTGACCACCCAAGGAACATTCCTGTGAAGTTTGGATAGAATTGGCTTAGCGGTTTATGAGATGTCGTTTAAAGCAAAAGTTTACAGACAGACACCCGACTGGTGATCACAAAGCTCACCATGTCGATATGTGACAGGCGATAGAGACTATGTTCAGTTTACTAGTAAAACAAGACAGTGATACAAGACTTTTAATATATTTATTTGACATAACAATATAATGAAACAAGATTCATTAATGAAGACTATCACAGCACAAAAACAGAGGGGGAGTGATTTTGGCTGTACAAAAATATCACAGATGAGGTAACATTTTACATCAGCATTAGATGAAGTCTAACTTCTCAGCTTCATTACACTAACGTAATGATCTGTGGGCCTGCCAAATGTTGCTACTATTTGACTTTCACAAGCAGGATTTTTCCACTGATTACTGCTAGAAACAGCAGATAAATCACAAGATCAGTTCCATTAATCTACAGATGTAAAGATTTTTTTTCCTGTAACATTTCATTTTAGAAAAAAACATTTTGAAAGAATCCTCAAACAAAATAGTTAATCTTATCAATACATTTCAACAACATATACGACTCAAATTACCTTATAAAACATCAAGTCATACAAAACTGTTTTCTTATTTCTAAGCAATGATGAAAAAGTCCCCCAATACATATTATAATGGCAGTGTTGAAAGTCAAACCAGTTGCAATCTAGGTGTTTAACAATCAAACGGTTCAATGAAGATACTTGCGTATCATGCTGTAGTAACATATTTGATAATCTAATATTAACTTTCCAAAGGACATAATTATCTTTCGAAGACTAATCAATCAAATCATAAAATGACAAGATATGACGGACAATATCAGAAGCACTCTTGCACCATACTAAACTTTCATTCTCTTCATCATCATTTTAAATTAAAAAAAACTTTTTCACACATATTATGTGCAATCTTTTTTTCATAATCTTTTTTAAGTTCATATACAATAAAATACACAGAAATACCCTTACAGGGTAATAAAATAATAGTATTTACACCAACATTATGCCTTATACTGTCTATGTATATATATAAAATACTTTTTTAAAGTTCTTTTCATTTTTATTTTACAAGTAGCGCCCTAGATACACAGTATCTTCGAGATTGTCTGAATCCTTTACTGGCACAAATCCTAGAAGTCGGTAATGTTCGAGCATACATTTATCACCAACACTAAGTTCAACATGAACTCCTGTAGCACCTTTAGCTCTCAATGATGATAGAGCACAGGCCAGTAATCTCTTAGTGACCGCCAAGTCCTCCATTCTACTTGTGAGAACGTCTAGACGTATTAGAGCTGGGAATGCTGTTGTTACACTGACTGGTGTGTCTACAACGTCACCATGGAAACTCATCATCACTTCCTGTAATTACATTAAAACAGACTTCAGTGAGAAAATCACTTCAAATGTATAATATTATCTGGGCTCTCCTACAGGTTCGAATCTCACAAGTCAATGACTTATTGATCAAACATTTTATATGAACTTTTCCTGTTATCTTCAATTCTTACGACAAATATTATCACTGTTAATCAATGAAAACCGAATGGCCATAAAAAGGGGGAAAAATGAATAAAATTATCAGATCTAAACTTTGTGACCTTTAGCCAATTGTGTCAAGACATCAATAACTAATTATATTGACTGTGTCTTATCGGATAATACGCAGGTTGGTGTCCTGTATGTTTATGTGAAACAAAGATACTGACTACAAAGAAGAACTTTGAACTGAAAGCATTTTCTTTTGTGTGGACATGATTACTCTTGTGTATATGTAGATGATTTACTTTTGTTTATATTGGCCAATAATGCCTAAAATGCATTAATTTTCTAACAAAGTATTGCTATATCAATGCACAAATTAGGCAAATCACATAAAGTTCATTTCTTTTAAATCAATTAAAGAGTGAGCAAGTGATTTCAATGAAAATGTTCCAACAAACCTCAGCTGGAGTAAGTTCGTTACATCGTTCAGGTTTCGGGTATTTTTCTTGCATGACTGGAGTCCATGCCAGCTTCTGGCGTTGCTTCAATTGTTTACTGTCTAAAGCTGCCACTGCGTAACCCATTACACCTTCCTCATCCTCCACAACAAAACAATACTCTGGGCTTAAAGTCACTATAGCACCAATCAATCTGAAAAACAATTACAGTAACTTGTTAATATCAGTTTTGACATCTCATGTATAGTAGTACAGAGAAATATTTTTTTTGCATATTTTTCATAAATCTGCTTCCTACTGATTTGATTTCAAAAACATAGAGAACATATTTAGAAACTACTTAGAAAGAAAAACACTCAAATATTATTTCAGAAATTTAAAGCAACTTTTTAATTCAAAAGGGCAAAATAAGATTTTATGTAAAACCCCTGAAACAATGATATAATTCCACAGAAGAAACTTACTTATCACAAATGACATGGGGATTTTCTGGAAATACTTCTGTTCCATCCATGCCATCATCACATGTTTTTAAACAGATAGCATACACAGATGCCTGAAAATACACCAAATACAATATATTATCTACCACTGTCTTGTTTTCCAAATAATAACATCTGATCACGGATTGCAAGCTGTATAAAAGAAGTAGTTATTATCCTGAAGATAATTTTAGATTCTGTACAAAAAACGGCGCAACCAGATTTTTTTTTGCAAAAAATTTCTTCATTTTTTAAGTTAAAACTGAGCCTGACGTTACCTTCTTTACATGAAAGAAATGTTAGATTGGCACAAAGTTGAGCACAACTGATATAGTTTACTAGAGTCACAGAGGACAAAATCTAACCTAATATATATTGACTAAAACAAATGCAATTGAGAACTTTAATAAACATTAGAATGTTACAGTTTACATACCTCGTCACATGTTCTGTATGGCCTGTAAGTGTAAGTTTTCTTCAGTATCTGTTCAGGATGTCTGATATAGAGCAGATCATGAGCCGCTGCCATTGGCAACATTCTCTACAAAAGCAAAGAATACAAGTTGTGAATACAGTAAAATCTATAATGTCGCGCTGAATGGATCCAAACTAAAGGAAACCACTCTTAAATATCGCAAGCGCAGCGCCCTGAAACAAAGGGTTATTTGCAATTCATGTATGACAGCTTAAAGTCTTAGATAAACTATCAACAAAAAAGAGACTAAATTCTTAAGATGTTGAAAACTAAAATATTAACCCCAATATGATCAAGATTTTGTTTTGCAAGTACAGGAGCTGTCATATAGGCAGCAGAGTTTGTTCCTCATTCCAAGTGTTTCCATATATTTGTCTATTTAAATACAGCATATAAACTATGACTTTATCTTATTTACATCAATGTTAGTCAACTTCCTTCCCCACCAGACTTTACACAGGGCACTCTTCCCTCATATCTAAGCTGTTGAGAAAAATATTACTATTCAAATCTTACGTTTGAATCTACTTCAAATTCTCAAAATTACAAACATATGCATAATCCTTGATTTTCAAGCTTTTATCATACTTCTTTTTTAACTCAACAGTATTTCTGCAAAAAATAATCAACTCTTACAGAATGTTAAGGAAAAGTGCCCTGCTAAGTGTCTTCAGTACTACGATTTGAAATTTAATGAATGAAGAATCATCTGTTTATCACAATGTAATCAAGTCAAAATTGTGGAGCACTGGTGACAAGTATGATGTATGTTTGAACAGTCATAGTTTTTATGCTGAAAAAAAAATGTTGCAATTGGCTGTCTGCAAGTAAAAACTTTCATTATGTCCATTACATGGAAGCATGTGAATACTTAAATATTGACCAGCTTTTTAGCATTAAAACAAATAATAATCATAAAAAAAATGTTCAAGCTAAAAATAAAACATTGATAGCACATACTGAACACAATGCAAAGCATATGCTAATGTGAAACATAAATCTGTTCCAATAAACTTCTAACCCCCAAAGATTCACTGTTTCAATATAAAAGAAACACTCGCAGCTGATTGTTTTATACAAGTATACAAATGCTTCTGATCTGAAAGTCAATCTAGTATATTACTGGTAATTGAACAAGGATTTTCAATTTCAAAACACAACATCTTCACTGTAGCTTGTCATAACCTTGAAATCACCCACTTTTTAAAAAACACTTTTCCCCCTGTCAGTTATTACACTTCATGTGTTTAGATTTGACAATAGTGATGTGAAAAGGTTGTGTTTTGTTGAGAATCCCTGTATGACATGGCAAGACTGCACACCTGTAAATAACACACTTGGAATGAGGAGCCAAAAACTGCAACAAAAATGGTTATTTGAAACTAAGACATAATAAACGCTATATATATATTGATGATTTCAGCTGTACAATCATCGTAATGTTTTAAAATTCCTGCTGGCATCAGCTGTGTGGTTTGTGGGTATAGTTAATTCCAACCACAAATACAAGCCGAAATCCGGACATAGATGCATGTGTGTGGGGATGCTCCTTTCACTATACATACTTGAAACTCGGCTTGTAAACCACCTTGGAAACACCACGGTTCCTGTTCACCGCTAAGGAACGTGTCACGATAATCCTTGGTCATCCCTGTACGGAAAGAAAAAGTAAAACTTGATTAGAACAAGGATAGAATTGTCACAAAGTATCTTATTACAATGACTAAGTTAAAATTAATTCTGTTAACTTTATAAAAATCTTTTCTAAAATCCAAATTTATTTTTAATTGGAAATAAAATCAAAAGATGATATTTAGAAATTATAAATACTTTTCTTTAACATTATTTATCTTCATTAATAATATTCAATTAATATTCATTAAGAAAGTTTACATGTTTAAAACTTGTTTCATATAATATTTATCATACAGATACCATACCCACACTGCTGGACTTCACACCTTGGTCTTCATTTTCTGGCATATTGCTTTTTTTCACTCTCGTAATGTTATTGACAACTAAGAAACAACTACGTCCAATAATGACAAGCAAGTCCCCAAATTGAAGTGGAATTTTGAATCGAAGCATTCTTAACATTAAATATATATATTACCTTAATTATAGAACCAGCTATAGTCAATGTCAAAACCAAAGTTAACATAATAATATATTTATCTTCTTATGAAAATTATCAAGATTTGAATTGATGACTTCAACTTTTTTGAACATTTGGTCGGAAAAATCTTATTATAAGGGTAATTTTTCTCTCAAGAGATCAAACCTTGGTTTAAAACTTGCGTACAGCTGGTTTCACAGAATTGCATCAATGCAGTCAATCAAAAGCATGAAAGTTTGCATTGCTAATGCATGACAGGAAAAAAAGTGTACTATTACATTTAAACCAAATTTGTCTGACATTTTGTATATAGCAATAAATTTACTCTTAATTATTATCATGTCATTTCTATCTATCTTTGCAAGTAAACGGTTCACATTTCCACCCAGGAATAGCTTTTATTGTGCCAGCTTCAATGTGACAATTGATATTTTAATATGAACTACAGCTTTCAAGATATCATATTCACAGCATGTACAGACAGTTGCAGACATCTCCACTGTTTTCCCCCTCTTTCTCCAATTCTTATAAAGCATTCCCATTCTCACATTGCCATCAAAAGAATGAATCCATGTTGCTTTCCAGTCTTGATTTGCTGTGAGTGAAATCTTGCCAAACAATATCAACATAATGCACTGTAGCTTACATTAAAATATATCATGCCTGTTTGCTTAGCTTCTAAATACAATACTTTTTCATTTCATATTGAAGTTCTTGTCCAATCACGAAAATCTTTGAATTCCCAAAATTTTTAACAATTAAAAAAACATTAATTGTTACAGCATCAATCAAACAAAAAATGAATAAAAACAATGAAGATTTTGCAAAGATAGAAACAGATTCACATATATTACATACAAACTTTCATTACCAAAGCGTAATGCAAGGTTTCATGCTTTCTAAGTTCTATAAATATAAATCAGCTCTGAAAAACAAATTATTTGCTAAAGAATTATTGAAAAGGCTGTCATTATTGGACTAAGTGTTCTGTAAAAGAAAATGACATATGAACAGACATAATGTAACATATACTAATATACGTACATGTAAATGGCCCTTGCAATTGACATACTATGAAGTTGGACAATTGACCCAATCCTGAAAATATAATTATTACTCTATATTAGAATATGTACATTAGGCTACAAAATACACATGATAAAATTCAGTTTTAAAAGAAGGAATTGTTTCAATTTATATCTAAATATGCTAAATATTTTTTGGATTAGAGAACGAGCAATGTCTATTCCAGGCGGGGGGATTCACTCATATTTTTCAGAATTCCCCCCTTTTTTTTTTCAGAGACACTGGGAAATTTTTACATAGAGAAAGAAGGGGGAAAAAAATCAACAAATGTTATAAATTCTCAGTATTCGATAAAAAAATCCCCTCTATTTCTCGAATCCTATAATAGACACTGAATGAAATTTTAAATTTTTATCCAAAGGCTCTTACCCAACCATCTGACAAATGCACAACATGACTGTAGAACGCCAAGCATGTCCCAAAGGTACGGATAGATGTAGTAGCCTACAGCTTGATTTGGGATATCACGTAGACGATTTGTGAAAGACTGTAGCTGACCAACTGTACTCAAGAACCTTTCAGATGTTTCCCACCATTCAGCAACCTGCAAATGTCAATTAATCTAACAAATATATATAACTAAATAAGCAAAACTGGCATGGTATAACAAGTACCTAAAACGTAACATTTAAAACTTTAAATTGACAGATATTGTTGAAACTGCGTACTTGGCAATGTCAGAATTTATATACCTAGTTTAGGCTAGTTAAACAATACTAGATCTATTTTTAACCTTTGCCGGTTATTCTTCTTCAAGGGTTTATTTTGATGGGAAAAATTGATGAAATTATTAAAATACCTGTGCTGGGTTTTCCTTGTGAGAATTGGCAATTAGGAAAGCATTCACTTTCAACCAGTGAAGATCTTGCAGCAACTGCACTGGTTTTGCAGTGTATTCAAATGGCAAATAAAAGAAACTGATGAACAACTCTAATTCTTCCTGTGTTACTATAAGTACTGGAGATTCTACAGGCAATTTTGAGTCTTCTATTGCACATGTGCAGACAGTATTTTCAACCTGCATTAAATTGTCACTAGATGCATTTTTAGTAATTTCAATATCACTATCCAATACATTAAGACTGTCAGTTATTGCTGAGGGGACACAGTCCATTGGCTCTGGGCTGAGAGAAATATCGGAATCAGAATCTGAATCATGTCTAACACGAGCTGGAGACCCCTCTGGTGAACACAGTGGATCTACTAAGCTGTTTACTAACACTGTTGATGTTGGATTAAGAAAGGATGGATCTACGGCACTATTCACAGTTGATGTTGGGAGATTTGTTGTTTCTAAATCACTGTACACTGGCATTGGCGGTGCCAAATTATTTGGAGTTGGTAGTGGTGGGGCAGCCACTGCCACTGATTTTGGGGGATGTCTAGGCTTGTGAAACTCAAGCAGCCAATCATTTATAGCTGTTCTTAGAGCAAGTCTTGGTTGGTATTTCAGTCCTAGGACAGGCATACCTTCAGCTGTAACATCATCACAACCACTCTCCATTTTGATGTCTGACACAACTGGACTCAGTTGATTTTCTGAAATAAAATCATAACAGCCTTATATGACAATAATTACTAATGTGTAATACTCCCAAGTATTTCAAATAACTGTACAGATTTAAATAAACATGTACTATTATCTTTCCTATTCCTTTAAAAAACTAGATAAATCAAATAAATTGCGATATTTTACATAGCCTAAATTTATGTATTAAAATATATATGTAAGTAGACAGAACTGATGATAAAATACTGACCTGTTATAATATCTTTCTTGACTCCATCTTTGTTTGACTGTGACCACTGGCCTAGAGTGTGTAAGGCAATATAATTTGCCTCAAATTCACAGTTGGGATTTGTAAGCACTCCTCTAATATATGGTATAATTTCCGGTGATCTGCCATCGTATGGTCCGAGGAACACACGTCTTGGATCATAATCATTAGCATGTATGTTATCCCAAATAACAGGGGGACGTCTCAACACACTTCCTACTTCTTCCAACTCCTTGATAGTGATTTTCTTGCTTATCACCTTGGAACCTAAACATTTAAAAGTTTAATATTATTTTTTATATGTTTGATATAATTGAACTATTTCAAATAATTGAATAATTTTATTATTTAACTAAGTTCTACAACTTAAAATTGAGCTTGAAACCTTGTTAACAAAGACATATTTAATGACCAAGTAATTTATAATAGGAAAATGTAAAGATAATGACAGTTACTCAATGTCAATGGCTGAGAGTTTAACATGGATAAAAGTGCACAGATCAATCTCAATTTACATGCAGACCAATCATATATATATACTTCAATCATTAACACAAAACTATGAAATCAAACCCATTTTTAATGTAAGGAATGTCCCTTTATTATGAACCAGCAACTTGTTGAAATTATTTTTCCCCTAGAATGAAATGTTTCTACACTTACCTGTCCAGAGTATATGTATGTCATTGAGAAGTTTTGAACCAACTGTATTAAGGTAACCAGAGGAGGCAAGATTTGGCATAGCTCTTGATGTACAATATTCTGAAGCAAAAACAAATTACATTTATGTAATGAACTGTCATCAATTGTAAACTTAACTGTATAGCAATTAATGCCTTTACCCAGTAGGGACCATAAAAAAAAGTTTTTCTTTCTAGGTTACATAAACAATGAGTATTCTGGTGTAAAATCATAAACTGATATTTTGCATTAGTAACCAGTATCATTTTCAGGTATTTTTGTCTATCTTAACTATATGAATATTAATTTCAAAATAATCTACAGATAGTTTATACAAGTTTACAATACTATGACAAATCAGAGATAAACAAAATCAGTTATCATATGGTCATGACTCACAACTAAAATAGATAGCCAGACATAAAATGACATATCAAGTTAATTACTTCATCGTCAAATTAAAACAATTAATTTAAACTAAAAGAGTATATATTGCATGATATGGATGTTCTTACATTCCACTACTGAGTCTGTCCGCAGACATAGAAGAATCAGGTAAAATATGAATGCCCCCCTTTTCTGAAGTTATGGGGATATGAAGAGTTAAAAGTGCATCACCATGAAAGAAATTACCTGTAGGGCAGAAATAGAACTCTGGTTGTCCCAAGTGTTCGTAAACTTCATTGGTTATAGAGACCTGAGCACAAGCAGAAGACTGAAATGCACTCTTATCTGATATACTCAATTCAGGATCAATGTCATCAAACAGCAAGGCAAAAGAATTACAACCAAATGCTGCCACCTGAAAATACATTTATTCAGTAAACTTATGTAAAAATGTAAAATATGTATGATTAGGTCAAACAAATATCTGTTCTGTCAGAACAAACCATTTGCATACAATTATATTGTTAAGACACAAAGATATCTACATCCCTGATAAAAATAATCACCATCATAAATATTCACAGTAAAATTTGTACATTTCATACATGTGGTCTCTAAGCAACATTTGTGTTCAATGACAATGTATCTTGGTATAAAATCAATATGTTCTCTGCAGATGCTTTAACGTATAAAATCAATATCGTTACTTTAATTCTAGACACTTTAACTGCAGACATTATATAGGCTTGTCATTACATTTTTATTAGATGGCCTGTTCTGAATTTAAGGTTGTCATTTTTGGTTTTATTACATACAAAAAAAAGAGTTTCTTAGTTCTGAGATGGCCAAAAAGCATTTGAGACTGAGAGTCAGACAGTAATTTTAGCCTTCAGTCTCCTCCTAATAACATCCATGCAGACATGGCAGATGTCCAATCTCAGATATCTATGCTTCCCCTTTTCAATAATGTATAAGTCAATGGAAATTCAATATGCCTTATATGAGGCTGCTGTTCATGTTTATATCATACTACTGCAGTATTTAACTGATATCAGGATGCTGCTAATAAATACCTGTTCTAATTTTCTTTTCAAGCATTGTACATCTTTTGAGCTAGAAAAGCTGATATCTAACCCTGGAGATATAGCATACACAAATGACACATTGTTCTCTGTTGCTGCCTCTATCAGACCAGTCAGATTATCTGAAACAAGAAGTTCACTGCTAGAAAATCAATATCTAGTTCCCCCGACATGCTATAAAAATGTGCAAGGCTTCCTAATCTGGTTGGAAAACATCCAATAAGTGAATCACAGAATCTAGAATTTCTGAGAATTACCAGTCTCTCGCACAAAGTTCAAGGTACAGGTTCTTTTAATCAGACAGGAAAAACATCAGAAGAAAATTATCAGCAAGGCTAGGACCTCAAGTTTCAGGATACTTAATTTCCAAGAAAACAAAGAAAGATTGGCACAAATAGAGACAAAAAAGCCCTTTTGAAAATGTGCAGTCAGGGCTGCCAACAGCAAATTTCAAAATCACAGAAAATACGTTGGGGGTCAGTGGGGCTGCGCAAGCCCCCTTTGCAGGTCCAGGGCAGAGCCCTGGTGGGGGTCCAGGGGGCGAGGCCCCCGGAAGCTCCTGGATTCTGATGATTTGGTATGCCCTAAAATCAATTTCCTGGGCTCTAAATTTGACAAATATCTGACATTTTGGCGCATTTAGACAACAGACAAGAGCGACAATGTAAACTGTAATTTGATTGGTTATTCTAAAATAGAATGCCGGAAAAGACTCGATATGACCAATGAGAAAAGCGCTTACAGACGTACCATAGGCGGCTAGCGTAACGATAAAAGCCGAAGCGTGCCAGTTTTTGGGTACTGTATAAAATTTGACGAATGAATTTATTGTCTTTGTCGAATTTACATCGATCTCAAAAATGACCCAGGAGCTCACGAAATCCGCAGATCCGCGGAAAATCGGCAGCCCTGGCAGTATGCATTGCAATGTAGTAAAGTGACTGACAGAATGGCCTAGATCAGACCAGACTGCTAATTATCTCCACTTTTAATATTGCACATATCATAGAACAAATGTCAAAAGACATAAATCATCTATAGGTATAATGTGCACAAAATATCTTACATAAAAATGATAGGAAGACATTGTATAAAGCTGCTGAAATGAACATATCAAATGTTTACATTTTACAAAGGAAAACATGAAACACAGCCAATCAGCAAGGCTAGGACCTCAAGTTTCAGGATACTTAATTTCCGAGAAAACAAAGAAAGATGGGCACAAATAGAGACAAAAAAGCCCTTTGGAAAATGTTCAGTATGCATTGCAATGTAGTAAAGTGACTGACAGAATGGCCTAGATCAGACCAGACTGCTAATTATCTCCACTTTTAATATTGCACATATCATAGACCAAATGTCAAAAGACATAAATCATCTATAGGTATAATGTGCACAAAATATCTTACACAAAAATGATAGGAAGACATTGTATAAAGCTGCTGAAATGAACATCAAATGTTTACATTTTACAAAGGAAAACTGGAAACACAGCCAATATTTTGGTGCATGTATACAACACACACTGTAAGCTGCTGTTTGGGGGAATCCCTTCAATTTAAGTTTATACAGTTTGTGTTGCAAACACCCAAAACAACAACTTGTTTTCCAGTTTTCATTGATTTTCGTAACATTAAAGTTTAAACATTTTCCATCTATGTAATTAAGATTTTTACAAATAAATTCTAAATGCAGTTATCTGGAAAATGATGCATGTAATGCAGGGTGAGTAGAATGGCATTAGAATCATTTTTGTTTCTCCTCATTTGTGAAGAAATAAAATCCCCCATCCTATTACATTTTTCCCCCTCCAAAGGGCACCAACCCACTTTCCCCAAAAGTGAAAAAAAAACAAGCAATTATCATAGTATTGCAAGCAATCCATAAGTCCCCTACCGGTAAGAGCCCAAGCAACATTCTGAAGGGCCATTCACTTAGGTTCCTATTTTAAGTAAATTTGTTGAAAAAGTTCTTTAAAAGTGATCACAGGAAACAGTTTTTATGTACAGACAGACGGACTGAAAGACACTCTAAAGTTATTTTTTAAACATCCCTGTTATCAAAATATAACATTTTTAAAATCCTATCATGATTGTAGAAGTTGGAGTAAAAATTACCAATTTTTAAAAAAAAAGTCTAAGTTCAAAAGGGGCATAATTCTGGAAATAGTCTTGCTAGAGTATTGAACACTCACAAAATTTAATGTTGAGTGATAATAAGAAACATTTATATGAAGTTTGAAGTAGATACATTCAGAAAAAGAAGTTATTAAAAAAAAAACAATGTTTTTTTCATGAAAATTTAAAGTTCAAGGGAGGTAATTCTGAAAAATTCTGTGCTAGAGTTGAAAACCTTGTCACATATGATGTGGTTGATGACAAGCAACTTATATTTAAAGTTTGAAGAAAATACCTTAAGAAATAAAGAACTTATAGTGAAAAAACTTAAAAACTAGAATCAGAAATCTTGAAATTCAGTCTATTTGTTGCCATAGCAACCAGAATTTTCAACATAGGAAGATAAGAAAAGGATGTGCATAATTTCCATACTGCCATCTACCCATATGTCAAGTTTCATAAACATATTTTCAGTACTTTTTGTGTTATCACTGGATCCAGGTTATGTGTAAAATTTGCCATATTTTCAGTCTATTTGTTGCCTAGAGTTGTAAACCTTGTCACATATGATGTGGTTGATGACAAGCAACTTATATTTAAAGTTTGAAGAAAATACCTTAAGAAATAAAGAACTTATAGTGAAAAAACTTAAAAACTAGAATCAGAAATCTTGAAATTCAGTCTATTTGTTGCCATAGCAACCAGAATTTTCAACATAGGAAGATAAGAAAAGGATGTGCATAATTTCCATACTGCCATCTACCCATATGTCAAGTTTCATAAACATATTTTCAGTACTTTTTGTGTTATCACTGGATCCAGGTTATGTGTAAAATTTGCCATATTTTCAGTCTATTTGTTGCCATAGCAACCAGAATTTTCAACATAGGAAGAAAAGAAAAAGACGTGCATAATCTCCATACTGCCATCTATCCATATATCAAGTTTCATAAAAATATTTTCAGTACTTTTTGCGTTATCGCGGGATCCAGGTTATGTGTAAAATTTGCCATATTTTCAGTCTATTTGTTGCCATAGCAACCAGAATTTTCAACATAGGAAGAAAAGAAAAAGACGTGCATAATCTCCATACTGCCATCAATCCATATATCAAGTTTCATTACAATATTTTCAGTACTTTTTGCGTTATCGCGGGATCCAGTTTTGTGGACGGACGGACTGACGGACGGACTGACGGACGGACGGACGGACAGACGGACGGAGGGTAAACCTAAAGTCCCCTCCGGTAAACCGGTAGGGGACTAAAAAAATACTGCAGTTGTTAATAATCTTTTCTCTCTATATTGCATCTTATAATACTGGAAGTCAATCTATTGCAGCCATCAAGTATTGATGCTGAACAAATAAGCATTCAACTTTAAAACTAATTCCATCTTGTCTTTGATATCATACAGACAAGGCTAAACTGTGAACTCAGATTTTTGGGAAAATTTCATGATTTTAAAGAAAATTTCCACTGAAATTGGGCCTTTTATAGGTCTGTTACATAAGATGAAAAATTACTGGATATATTTTGTTCATAATGAAGGCAGGGCTTTTTTTCACAGGTTGGGGAAGCAGCCCAGCCCTTAATTTTGGGGAAAAATTACATGGTTTATTTGCAAAAGGGGAAGAAAAAACTTGATGTAATAAAATCAATTTTTGGGGAAAACTGCATGATTTTAAGAAATTTTCTTTGGGGAAGCAGCCCTATACTGGCCCCTGTTATAGAAGGTAAAAAGGCCCTGGAAGGTAAAGATTCAGTAAAACAAGAGCTGTCCGTAAGACAGCGCGCTCGACTTTTTTATTGCTTGCCAATAAAAAAAGTTTTTGCAGTAAAAGGCAATACAAGAATCTCTGTATTTTTAAAGTGAACAATGGCCATGAGCATTAAGATATTTAGTGAAGAATTATTTTATTATGACATAATTTTTGGTAAAGTGAACAAGTGGATAGGAATGAATTTTTTTAGATTTTTTAAGTTTTTTAGTGCTTGCCTATAATACAAAACATTGACAGTTAAGGGCCATAATTCAAATAAAATCTTTGACAGAATTACCTTCTCCTGGACATGTTTGGGAATCATGATTGTAAACAAGTATTCCAACTTTCAAATTAATATCTCAAACAGTTCAGTCAAAAAGTGGACTGGTACTAAAAACTTAACCAAGATTCTAAGTCGATAAAAGGCCTTAATTTTTAAAACAAATCCTTGACAGAGTTACCTTCTCTTGCGTACAGATGGGGGTAATGATGTGAAATAGCATTAAAAGTTTCAAAGCAATATCTCAAAGGGTTAAGGCAATAAGTGGATTTTACCCATATTCAATGTATTTTCTAAGTCAAAAAGGGGCATAATTCTGTCAAAAACCTTGACAGAGTTATGTCCTCTTGTCTGTTGATGAAGGTCGTGATGGTAAACAAGTATGGTCAGTTTCAAAGCAATACCTCCAATGGTTTTGAAATAAAGTGAGGTGGTACAAAAAACTTAACCAAGCTCAATACACTTTCTAAGTCAAACAAGAGCTGTCCGTAAGACAGCGCGCTCGACTTTTTTATTGCTTGCCAATAAAAAAAGTTTTTGCAGTAAAAGGCAATACAAGAATCTCTGTATTTTTAAAGTGAACAATGGCCATGAGCATTAAGATATTTAGTGAAGAATTATTTTACTGAATTGTGTGATACCCTTGAACACTGCAGGTTCAGTGGATAGGAATGAATTTTTTTAGATTTTTTAAGTTTTTTAGTGCTTGCCTATAATACAAAACATTGACAGTTAAGGGCCATAATTCAAATAAAATCTTTGACAGAATTACCTTCTCCTGGACATGTTTGGGAATCATGATTGTAAACAAGTATTCCAACTTTCAAATTAATATCTCAAACAGTTCAGTCAAAAAGTGGACTGGTACTAAAAACTTAACCAAGATTCTAAGTCGATAAAAGGCCTTAATTTTTAAAACAAATCCTTGACAGAGTAACCTTCTCTTGCGTACAGATGGGGGTAATGATGTGAAATAGCATTAAAAGTTTCAAAGCAATATCTCAAAGGGTTAAGGCAATAAGTGGATTTTACCCATATTCAATGTATTTTCTAAGTCAAAAAGGGGCATAATTCTGTCAAAAACCTTGACAGAGTTATGTCCTCTTGTCTGTTGATGAAGGTCGTGATGGTAAACAAGTATGGTCAGTTTCAAAGCAATACCTCCAATGGTTTTGAAATAAAGTGAGGTGGTACAAAAAACTTAACCAAGCTCAATACACTTTCTAAGTCAAAAAAGGGCCATAATTCTGTCAAAAACCTTGACAGAGTTATGTACTCTTGTCTGTAGATGGAGGTTATGATGGTGAACAAGTATGGTAAGTTTCAAAGCCATACTTGTAATACTTCTGAAATAAAGTGGGGTGGTACGAAAAACTTAACCAAGGTGTGACGCCAACGCCAACGCCGACGCCGACGCCGACGCCGGGGCGAGTAGGATAGCTCCCCTTTTCATAGAAAAGTCGAGCTAAAAAGGGCCATAATTCTGTCAAAAACCTTGACAGAGTTATGTACTCTTGTCTGTAGATGGAGGTTATGATGGTGAACAAGTATGGTAAGTTTCAAAGCCATACTTGTAATACTTCTGAAATAAAGTGGGGTGGTACGAAAAACTTAACCAAGGTGTGACGCCGACGCCGGGGCGAGTAGGATAGCTCCCCTTTTCATAGAAAAGTCGAGCTAAAAAGGATTGTTCAGGAAGAAAACGTATGTATAAACACCGCAAAAAATCCCATTTAGGTCAATTTGAAAAACAACATATTTATATTTAAGTATTATAGTATGAACTTATTGTTGTAAAGTGACTGACAGCCTGGCCTACAAAGACCAAGATGCTAATTATCTTTTCTCTTTATATTGCACTATTCAAACACTGAAGATCTAAACTTGATTTCCAGCGAGTCAATGTGCTAGACACTGTTATATATTTAGGGAGTAAACATTACACACACCTTCAAGGCCGGCAAAATCAATTGTCCGAGTTGCCCGAGTTTGTATTGTACAATTGTAGGTCCGGGCAAGTAAAATTCTGCAGTTTACTTGTCCGTGGACAAGTAAATTTTGGCAGCTAAAAGAGGAATTCTGAAGAAAAAAATATAGTTCTTTTCTAATAGATCTAAATCAGAAGGAAAATCACATATTTAATACGAAAACTAGCATGTGAAGTGTGGTGTCATTCGTGAGGGCATTCCGTGCATATTAGGGTGTTACTATTTAAAGTGTTTACATAAATAGCGACCAACCAGGCTTGGGGTTTTCCTTACGTCATGCAGTTACTGCATGCGCGTGGCAATTAACTAATAATTGAACGTATCAAGGTCACTATGTGGGGTACATGTTTGTTTTGGTTTATGACTGCCGACTTAGCCTCTGCAATAAAATATTTCCGGTAGCAACGGGGATTCTGCCATAAAATTGACTTGGAAGCTGTGGTCTTTTCAAGCGCATTTATTGTTTAGATAGCAGACACAGCATCAATCTCGCAACAATTGTCTTTGAAATACCGCTGTGTTGTCACATGAAAACTAAATACATAGCATAACTTTTCCAGGTCATTCAGGAATATCTACGCAAAATAAGTTGAATCACATCGGCAATTTGACTGCTTGAATTTATATGGACAAAGTCGTTTTATGATTTATTTTATGTAAAGATTTCTAGTGAAAATGCCTTTGTTTTTGAATGTCTAATACTGGTGTTAATGTATACATGTCAGTTTCATAGTCGCCGATGATGATGTCAAAATTTTCACAATTCATCTGCTGCAACCAAGCGTATATACGTATATGATATTACATTCTGTGGCAATCATAATTATATCATTAAAAAAGCCAGATGTCATCAATTTGACAAATCTAACTCAAGACTTGAGTACATATTATTCTTTTAACAGGATTCAAATGAATATTATATAGATGAATAGAATAAGGAGTGAATAAATAAGAAATGGTACCAGAATGCAAAAAATGAAGACATATTTTTAGAGCAATTTGGGTGCAAGTTCACAAGGAAAATTGAAATAGTGCTGTTAAAAGACCAATGCTCCTTCCAGTAAAATATACACAATTTGTCCACCACTGCCGTTCTACTTTAATCTACTGCCGTTAACATTTTATAAATATAAATTATATTATAATCATTATATATTATTAAACATATGGCACAGAATGTTTAATAAAATTGAAAAAAAGTTCATAATCATATTGCTCTTCTTTATTGACATTTGCAGTAAATATTAAATATAAATACAGACAAGTGAACATTGAGTACGGACAAGTAAATTTCTTAGGTTACTTGTCCGTGGACAAGTACAATTTTCTGAGATTTTGCCGGCCCTGCACAACTATAGTTTTAATGTGAGAATTATTTAAAAAATACTTTTTTAGTGAACATTCTCAGCATTTTTTCCCACAGATACAGGAAAGGAACCATAATACAAAGATTTTGGTAAATTGGAAGAAAAAGCAATGTAAATAAGGAAAAATTGCATGATTCTGAAGAAATATCTGAACAAATTTTTTTTACAATGCCTTACATTGTATCTGCTATAGAAGTAAAATGCCATGTTTCAATGATTTCTCAAATTTTGTTTACCCATCATCAATGGTGTAAACAGTGCAGTGATTTTTCTCACTTAATTGGGAAGAGGCCTTAGCCTCTTGATTTTGGGAAAAAATATCGCTAAAACTGCTGATTTGGGAAGCAAAAAAGCTGGTTTAAGTTCAGATTTTTGGGAAAACTGCATGATTTTAAAGAAAATTTCAATTGGGAAGAGGCCTTTTTTCGGAGTCTGTTATATAAGTAGGAAAATCACTGCAGTGAAATACGATAAAATTTGGAATAATGAAATCCAAGAACTGTCTTATAGCAAACTTTGAATACAATTATCTTTAGTGATTTGGTAAGGGAAGTGCTGGCCAAACTTGTCTCAAAAATCATAACATACCAGCTTCCTCCACAGAGTACAGGTCCCTCCAAAAAGCTCTGTGTTTAGCATCATCTTTAGGTGCATACATGTATGTTGTCATGCCCATTTTATGCATCCTGTAGTAAATAATTTATCATGAATATTTTATTTAACATTATTACACGGACATATACCAAAATAAATTAATAGACACAAACATGAAAATCATTTTTAAAAGACTGTTTAGATAGATAATAGATATGTTAAAGGTTATTGAAAAATATTTATTGCGAGAAGACGAGGACATTTTTCAATTTCTGCAGGTACGAGTTATTTCATATTTTGACACTGTTAAACTCTCCATCAAATGTTTTCAATTTTAATTTAAATTTAAATGTTTTCCATTGAGAATTAAAGCAACTGTTGAATGTTTCATCGAGGACCAATGTGGCCTGAAATATCTCTATGTTTAAGGTCCTCCACCCCAAGGGCCCTTATCACCTTACAGGGGATGCAGCTGAAGAATTTTGACCTCAAAAATTGTCAAATATAAGCTGTTGCGAAAAAAGCAATGTATATTTACCACTGGAACAAAAGCTTCCTCTGTTCTGTTGTCCATGGAATACCATAAAAACCTAGAAGAATACAGACAACAGATTAAAGTAATTAAATAGCTATAAATATTTGCAACATTTTAAAGTTACAAAAAAATATAGTTCAAGAAAATATAGTTCACAATTGACGAAGACAAGTATCTGAAAACTCACAAATATGGGATGTTTTCAACCCTAACTTATTGTCTATAAATCACATCAACTATTGTTGGACCAAGGCACTTGGGGTGTGGAGCTTAAAACTTTTAAAATCCAAATAAAATGTATATTTGTCAATCCCAGCACATGTACTGATCATATATATATCAAAAAAACTTAATATAAGCTGTTTTGAAAAAATTTCATATTTCAACGTCAATATAAATGTTCGCCGGAAAAAATCTTCAAACCTACCGTCATCATTACCATGTATTTTATTCCATTTCCAATATTTTCACATAATCCTTTAGTCCATCGACACAGAAGATATAATTATTCACTATGATGGTCAATTTTAAACTTCAATCAGGGCCAAACAACCCTTCTTTGTAGAGGCCGAATATAGGCTACTTCCCCAACCAAAATAGCCTCTTTTTTCCCCACTTTGGTCCTCAAAATTCCCCAGTCTTGAAATTTCCAATAGAATTTAGAACAAAATGAAATGATGGTTTTGAATTAAGGTCTTTTACTGCCTTATTAGTATTTCCCAGTGCTTTTTGCTTTTCTATTTTGAAGAACTTGTTAAAAGTTTGTGTTAAATTCGAGACCCCTTTTCCCAAAGTATGCCAAAATCACGCATATTTTCCCCAAGAAAAAGGCTGAGGCCCCTTTCCCAAAAATGGTGTTTTGGCCCTGTCAATGGTAATATAAACAACGTGTCACGGTTCAGAACTGTTCACTATTTAGGGGAGAAGATGTGTAAGCGGCCAGATAGCTCAGTCGGTAGAGCCGCGGAACGGTATTCCGAGGGTCCCGGGTTCAAGTCCCGGTCAGACTGCATATTTTTCTCACCCTGTGACAAACGCAACAGCCAAAATAAACATCAAAATTATCGCCATTTTACTCCATTTACAAAATCTTTCGATAAATTCAAACGTGGCTCCACACCCCAAGTGTCTGTGTTGGAAGTAGTCCTATAAATATGACGTCGCTTTGAGATATTTTTGCTTCTGGGCAAAGCAACGTCATATCGAAATTGCTCAAAAACCCATAGCATGTTCCGTTAGAAAATCAGGTGGTACGAAAAACAATATAGACAGCGTGTATTTACATAAGTTTTGACCTATTTATGAACAAAACTAAACAAGAGGGCCATGATGGCCCTGAGGTCGCTCACCTGTATGTAGCCCCCCCCCCCCCCACCCCCAGGCCAATTTTTACCCAAGGGCTTTTATTTGTTTATTTGAACAGACTTGGTAGACACCCATAAGAAGATGTTTCATGCTTAATATCTAAACTCTAGCTATTTGGGTTTTTTCAAAGAAGATTTTAAAGTTTTTGCTATACACATATAAGGAAAATCAATGACCCCCCCGGGCGGGGCCAATTTTGACCCCAGGCCTTTTATTTGAACAAACTTGGTAGACACCCATTAGAAGATGTTTCATGCTAAATATCTTAGCTCTAGCTCTTTGGGTTCTTTAAAAGAAGATTTTTTAAGTTTTTACTATATGCATATAGGGAAAATCTATGACCCCCTGGGGCGTGGTCAATTTTGACCCCAGGGCTTTTATTTGAACAAACTTGGTAGACATTCACTAGAAGACGTTTCATACCAAATATCTAAGCTCTAGCTCTTATGGTTCTTTAAAAGAAGATTTTTTAAGTTTTTACTATATGCATATAGGGAAAATCAATGACCCCCCTGGGCGGGGCCAATTTTGACCCCAGGGCTTTAATTTGAACAAACTTGGTAGACACTCACTAGAAGATGTTTCATGCTTAATATCTTAGCTCTAGCTCTTTGGGTTCTTTAAAAGAAGATTTTTTAAGTTTTTACTATATGCATATAGGGAAAATCAATGACCCCCTGGGGCGGGGCCAATTTTGACCCCAGGGCTTTTATTTGAACAAACTTGGTAGACATTCACTAGAAGATGTTTCATGCCAAATATCTAAGCTTTAGCTCTTACGGTTCTTTAAAAAAAAATTTTTAAGTTTTTACTATATGCATATAGGGAAAATCAATGACCCCCGGGGCGGGGCCAATTTTGACCCCAGGGCTTTTATTTGAACAAACTTGGTAGACACTCACTAGAAGATGTTTCATGCCAAATATCTTAGCTCTAGCTCTTTGGGTTCTTTCAAAGAAGATTTTTTAAGTTTTTACTATATGCATATAGGGAAAATCAATGACCCCCTGGGGCGGGGCCAATTTTGACCCCAGGGCTTTTATTTGAACAAACTTGGTAGACACTCACTAGAAGATGTTTCATGCCAAATATCTAAGATCTAGCTCTTAGGGTTGTTTTAAAGAAGATATTTAAAGATTTTTCTTTCGGTTGCCATGGCAACCAGAGTTCTGCATGGAATTAAATTCTTTGAACAATTTTTAAAGGTGACCACCAAAGGTACATTCCTGTGAAGTTTGGATGAAATTGGCTCAGTGGTTTATGAGGAGATGTCATTTAAAGCAAAAGTTTACGGACGGACGACGGACGGACGGACGGACGGACGCCGGACGAAAAGCGATCACAAAAGCTCACCCTGTCACAGGTGAGCTAAAAATAAATACCTTTTGTCAAAATAATTAAACTGTCACATCCGAAAAATCATGATTAAATCCTCTCATGTATTTTAATTCTTTTTAAAGCCGATAAACAAATAGCGGCCATAAAGTGCGCGAAATCTGATTGGCTAATTCAAATGCAAGCGTTTAACTGAGTCAGAACAATCTAACGGAATATTTTTTTAACGAAATAATTGCCAGTGCACCGTCAGTGTGTTCGAATATATTTTTCCGTTCAAAAATTTGGAATCAATCTGTAAAGCACCTTGCTTAACCAGTATGGCTGATAGACAAAAATAGATGGATGTTTATATTTTATTTTAAATTGATAAGTACATTGTTTGAGAGTTTTTGTGTATGATTGAGCATGAAATTGAAAGAAAAGAAGATAAGCTTTTGAATAAAGCTTGAAAGGCGAGACAAAAGACATTTTTTGAATTTTTTATGATGCTATGCGTTTTTGAGCAATACCTATTAGATGTCGGGCTTGACCGACATAAACTATAACAAGCCTGTAACGTCTAATATATTGGACTATGTTGGAAGGACTTGCTAATAATTAATTTATGCGCATATCATTATATAGTTCTGGCTTCCAAAACTTTATAAGCCGCTCTTTAACATTTTTGTTTTTCATCTGATGCAGCATTAAAGTTTTGGATTAGACCCGTTACAAAACCTAACCAGAATAACATTAGTTGATTTATTCTTGTTTTTCACTTGCAAATACACTTGACCGAATCAATTCTTGTGCATTTTACGATAAAGCAATTATTTTTATATCATTCTATACCAATTAAAGTATCAAAATATTAATACCGTCATTAAAATTGCCTATTTAACTGTAAAACATCAATTTACGCCGACTACAGTAGGCCATGACATTCAGGTGCCACGCGAGACCTCGTCTGACGTCATTCGCGGGAACAGATTTGAATAGTGTACTATATTTAGAACATTTTGTTGACATGATTTCAATATTTAAGATAATGTTTTTATTTATTTTCATAAATTTTTCAGTACTTAAATATGATTTTATTGAATATAAAAGTCAGTAAATCACCTTTTTCAATATCTTTAAAAAAAGTAATATATAAAAATATTGGAGGCACATGGGTTCATAAAGGTAAATCTCGTAATCACGTGGTCAAACATTTTGGCAATATGGCGGCCAAGTGCCGAAATTTTTACCTGTCGGAAACTATTAGGTAGTTTATGTTCCTAATAAGATTTTTATTTGTCCATCCTTGGCTTATAAACAGATTATATATAGTTTTATCAAGGTATGCTTTACTGTACTTCATGGCATGTTCGATGAATAAATACGAGCGTGTCAGATTCCTGGCACGATTATTGGTGGACTTTCCCTACGGGGTTATCTTCAGCGTTCACGTCATGTCATAGTATATAAACGGGTACACTGAAGACCTTAAGCTAATCATTATATATTGTCTAATAGAAAATCATTGCCTTGGACACATTGACATTAGCTTGACCTTTTTGAAGACTAGCTTTTTATAAGATTTTGCCTATAGTCGAACAAACCACAGGCGCTAGTCACATAATCAAATATTTTACATCATCGGTCTATATATGTATATAAAGATATAAGGCCCCCAATGAAACAAAAACATCATGCGGAACAAACAAGAACAATGCTGAAAGAAACGACCAGATCACGGTTATCTCTTTCTGGTCGCCATCTGAAAGGATCAATCCAAGCCTTAAAGCTTTTTATTTCATTTAAATTCTTCAAATAGCAAAGAAATGAGTAAAAGTTTCAGAAAATGCCAATATTTTCAATCCATGTCGTTTTCAACGTCCAATCTATTCATGTATACAAACACGATTTCTGGTCGATTTCTACGAAATAAATAGAAAACATCTAAAATTTCCTCATAAAATTCATAAACAAACTCTTTTTCTATCAATCTGCGAAGTCTAAATTGAACTAGAGCCCTCTTTGTACTCAAATATTTAAAAAATATTGGTTGTAGAAGCGGGGGTCAAGTAAAGTGCGCCATTTGTAATTTGAAGTGACAGATAAATGAAGCAAAGAAATAGTATTATACGATTGGTCAATAGTATTCCGGTAGGAAAATAGTCAACTCGGCACGGGTCAACTCGGCCCACTCTCCAAAAATATATAGGCCTATAACGTATTTACTTTGCTTAGCATGTTGTTAAGGTAAATGAATAATAAGAAATATCTTATTATTATTATATAACTATACATTGTACCTCTGCTGAAATAAAGTTTATTTAGAAAAAAAAGTTATTTAATAAATTATTTGTCTTGCATATTTGATAAAATTAATATAGACATAGGCACGATTATCGAACCTGGGAAGAAAAAATATGAACAGATTGATGAAATAACTTCATATTTTTTCTTCCCAGGCAGTGATTTTCCTACTTATATCCAAAAAAAGGCCTCTTCCCAATTGAAATTTTCTTTAAAATCATGCAGTTTTCCCAAATATCTTAACTTAACCCAGCTTTTTTACTTCCCAAATCAGCAATTTTAGAGATAATTTTCCCCGAAAACAAGAGGCTAAGTCCTCTTTCCAATTAAGTGAGAAAAATCACTGCCAGGTCCGATACTTGTGCCTGTGAATATAGATATAATAAAAATGTGTTTCCTTAGATGCATTTTGTTTGTAAAGTAATTTTCAAAAAAATATGACACAAAAACGTGTTTACTTAATAGCATAAGCTTCTAATAAATTGCAGGTGGTCACTAATCAAATTTGAATGAATGAGTCAATCGTAATTATCACTTAATTAATCGATATCTTTAACCTGGGACATACGATATTATATCCCAGCTTTAACATACACATTGATTGATAATAATAGCCCGTGGCAATATATAGGAGTCCTTTGATGTCCTTTACCCATTTTTAAAAGATGGCCGAGTTGACCCGTGCCGAGTTGGAATAGGGCCGAGCTGACTCGGGGGCCGAGTATGTTTTAGGGCCAAGCTGACCCGGATTCTTCCGGTAATTATCTTAACCAATCAAATCCTTATATAAAATTCAGAGCGGAACAGTATATACATGCGCTATATACATGGCGATAAAATACTGTCACAAGCGAGATCCTTATATATTTTTAATGAAATACGTACGAAGAGGGCATTTGATCAGTGAAGACTTCGCAGATCGATAGGAAAAGAGTTTGTTTATGGAACGTACGTGGAAATTCTAGCCGTTTTTTGTTTTTTTCCGTAAAAAAACGATCAAAAATCGTGTTTGTATACATGAATGGACTGGGCGTCAAACGACATGAATTGAAAATAATGGCATTTTCTGAAACTTTTCCCAATTTCTTTGCTATTTGAGGGATTTTAATGAAATAAAAAGCGTTGGCACTTGGATTGATGCTTTCAGATGGCGACCAGAAAGAGATAACCGTGATCTGGTCGTTTATAGCAGCAGTGTTCTTGTTTGTTCTGCATGATGTTTTTGTTTCGTTGGGGGCCTTATATCTTTATATACATATATAGACCGATTATGTAAAATATTTGATTATGTGACTAGCGCCTGTGGAACAAACCAAATAAAAAAATGTTGGGAAATTATTATCCATATCTCGATAAATAATCTACGAAACAACGCTATCGACTTATTTTATCATTAATAAAAAGATTATTAGCTGATCATCTACATGATTGTAAACAAGCTCAAACATCTAAATCAATGTCTTAGTCACACGAATTTTTTTTTTTATTAATTGAAATTTGGAACTGTGCCAAATCGCCATTTTAGTAAATAAGAAGACTAACCTTCAACAACTCCGCACACAAACTTCGCATTCGGCTTGTTGTCTAGGACCTCAGAAGTAGATCCTGTCATTTTTGTATTATGATCGGAGTTTATACAAGAATTGTGTATTCCTCCTATTTTGGGTATATTGAATAAATGTAGTTATACTTCTAATGAAATTCACCTCCGCACAATGTCGCAATTTTATCGATCGTCTTGTACCATAATATGAGCGGTTTGATTGGCTGAGAGGTTCGTCTTAATCGGAGAACTTCTGCTGTTTTCACAGTTACAAATTTGCACCAATCAGATTGGCTAAAACCACTTTTAACTGGAAAAATCCGGTTCAAAATGCAAAGGATAGCTCTAACATTTAATGAAAAGGATAGTTTAAAATCGAATGGTATTGTAATCTTCAGTTTAGATCTAGTCGTCGGCATACTGTTCTGTCCATCTTCAAGTAAAGTAACCACTGTGAGCAGTTTGATGACAATAACCAACAACACTATTTTTCTTCAATAAATCTTAAATTGTGTTGTTTTCTAATCCATCCCCCTAATTGTAACTCATACAATTTATTTAATGTGTAAATATATATTCCATATATTTGGTTTAAAAACGGCTAAAAATTTAAACTAGCTTACTATATATTTTTATTGTTATTGTCGTTATCGTACTTCTCTTTTCTTAATGTATTTATTTTTTTACAGTTAGTTTTGTCTACCATATAGGCCTATAGCCTACTATGTTCCGCTATTTGTTAGTTTTAGTTTCCAATTCATTTACAACACGATAATACACATGACAAACTGAATAAAATCTTGAACCTTTGAAAAAAAACATATATTCATTGATTTGCTATTATGATTATGGTAAAATAAAAATGTTCATACTTTTTCAAAATAATTAATTTTATGCAAAATGAGACCTATTTGGTAAATGGCCAATATATATGTGTGGGCCATGGGTTTATGGCATTTGTCCGACCCAGTAATTCCCCTTTCCAATGACCCCTTACAAAATAGTTTATGAATGAAATCATTTAGAATATATATAATAAAAAATCATCAATCTATCTTCTAAAGATCAAAATCAAACTTACTAGGTTATCCTTAAAAATTATACTACATGACTGTATATATTATAACAACTCTTCACTCATTGTCCTATCAAAATAGACACTCATATTATAAGATATAACTACATTATTTTTTTCAGCAAGTTTCAAAATGTTTGGAACAGAATATTTTAATGGAAATACAACTGTCATTACTGGCGTCTTGATTTTTCTTAAAAATATTTAATGTCGTCTGAATGTTCTTATGTTATCCAACATTCAAAATTAACACAAGTAAAATAATATGTGATGAAACTGTCAAATTTTGTGGAATAGACATTGACCATGAAATTTTTGTTCAATGTCATGACATTTTTGCTCAGAAAACAGTTTGAACAACCATGTATGTAATAAACTAATAAACTATGTATGTTTGTTTTACTTCATCTATCTAGGAATTTGGAGGTTTAAAAACAATTGTAAACATTTATTTCTGGTGTTCTCATTTATAATTTGTTATAATTGTTATGAATTATTTTTATTGTTATTCAAAGAAGTCGTGACTGTATGAAGTATATAAGGTATACAGAATTTTAAATGCACAAAATGGGATAGATTTACGTATTGTCCAACTAATTGTACTACACGTTGAATTATATCGTGATATTTTGTGCATGGACAATATCTCCCCTCTATTCGGACTGAGAACAAAAATATCTCAGAATCTAGCAAATATTTGACTAGATTTATGTAATATTAATGTACCATAATTTATCTCATATTCCAAAGTAACTCAAAATAAAGTAAAAATAATACATAATCTATATGTCAAAAAATTTGTGATTCAATAATCTGAAATGTTTCATTTACTGATAAAACTGTTACGGAGTCTCCCGAAATAGGTCAGTATTGTCTAGTACGAAATATTCGTGATCCGAAATGTGATAATACCGAATGATCAATGGGGCGAATCATTACCATGACGTTATTTCCGGCAAAGTTTACTTCCGTGTTTTTATTAATTTTTCATTTTTATGTTATTTTTTAATGTTTAAGATCATTGTCGTGAGAATTAAGTGGTAAATTGATAATATATATTAGATCTATATTTATTCAGGAAAATGGCTTGTTGCCCGCGAGGCGATACATTTGTGAGCCCTACTTTGAAATATGCGCTTTTTTTCTTTAATTTTGTTCTTTGGGTGAGTAATAATTATCTTTAAAAATATTAATAAATGACTAATATTGTTCTGATTATCAATTCGTATTGAACTTAACTGAGTAAAGTTAGTTCAATCACACTTTACTGATGTTTCGCATCTTTTTAACAGGTAATACTAAATATCTCAGAATTTTTTTCCCGTTTTAAATATTTCTGATATCATGTTCTAACAACATGCCAATTTTAAAGAAATTATATTGAACAGTTTTAATTTTGCCTATATATCTATATGAAAACTCCCGAAAACGTCCTTAAAGCATGTTAATCACTTGTCTCTAGGATCAGTTCATTTAAAAGAGAGAGGTGTGAAATTAAATCTTGTCAACAAATACTGACTTAATTAAGCTCAATAGTTGGGAATTTGTATGGTGGCTGATTTGGAACGCTTTTGTGCGTCATGTTGTCGCTAGTGACATCAAGACAAAGTGCCAAATGGCTTGTTTTTGGACTTTCGTCTTGTCGCTAACGATGCACAACAAATGGTGCGTTGTCGCGCATGTTGTTGCGATGTCACATTGTCGCTCACCTTAAATAGAAGGATTGACTTATAAGCCAAGCGACAGGGCTACATTGTGCCGCACACCAACGCGCCTTTGGCTTGCTTCGCTAGAGACAGGACGACAAGATGACAACGCACTGTTTGGCATGTTTCACTAGTGACAAGACATAAAGGCGATAACGATATAGGTTGTGTTGTCGCTATCGACAACACAACGCACAAAGTGTACCAAATCAGCCACCCTAATTTTGTTTTAGTGGTGTTAGCAAAATAGGAAACTGTAATCCAGTCTGCACTACTTTAAGTACAATATATTTCTTCAATTTAACTGCATGGCTGCTTTCTCTGGTGAACCAGTTTATGATTTTGGGTAACAGAAAAAAACGACATTATTGTACCACAGGCTGATCACAATAATACTCATATTTTTCCATCCCCTCCAAACAATGACAAATGTGTAATATTATATATGTCAAAAATGTCAAAAAATAAATTTCTTGAGGTAAGAAAAGAGTCAGCCAGTAATTCCCAAAAATCAAGAGTTTGAAAGTAAGCATAATATAATGATGTTGTGTATTATGTTTGAGTATGTACCCCCATTTTGAAAAAGCCATGGGTCAACCCTTTTGGTAGCAATTTGTTTTGAGTAGCTGACTTGAAGGCAATTTGTTTGGAGTAGCTGTCTTGAAGGCTGTCTTGATAGCAATTTGTTTGGAAAAGCTGACTTGATAGCAACTTGTTTGGAATAACTGACTTGATAACAATTTGTTTGGAAAAGCTGACTTGATAGCAACTTGTTTTGAATAGCTGACTTGATAACAATTTGTTTGGAATGGCTGATTTGATAGTAATTTGTTTGGAATAGTTGTCTTTATAGCAATTTGTTTGAAATAGCTGACTTGGTAGCAATTTTTTTAGAATAGCTGACTTGGTAGCAATTTGTTTGGAATAGCTGATTTGGAAGCAATTTGTTTGGATTAGCTGACTTGGTAGCAATTTGTTTGGAATAGCTGACTTGATAGCAATTTGTTTGAAATAGCTGACTTGGTAGCAATTTGTTTGGAAAAGCTGACTTGGTAGCAATTTGTTTGGAAAAGCTGACTTGGTAGCAATTTGTTTGAAATAGCTGATTTGATAGTAATTTGTTTGGAAAAGCTGTCTTGACAGCAATTTGTTTGGAATAGCTGATTTGGTAGCAATTTGTTTGGAAAAGCTGACTTGGTAGCAATTTATTTGGAATAGCTGACTTGGCAGCAATTTGTTTGGAATAGCTGTCTTGATAGCAATTTGTTTAAAATAGCTGATTTGATAGTAATTTGTCAAGGGGTCAAAGGTCAAGGTCACATTGACCTTGTAAGCAAAAACGGTTTCCGATCAATAACTAAAGAACCTTAAGGCCTAGGAACTTCAAACTTGGTATGGTGATTGGTCATGATCAGTAGATGACCCGTATTGATTTTGGGGTCAAGGGGTCAAAGGTCAAGGTCACATTGACCTCTTGGGTAAAAACGGTTTCTGACCAATAACAAAAGAACCCTTAGGCCTAGGAACTTCAAACTTGGTATGGTGATTGGTTATGACCAGCAGATGACCCCTATTGATTTTGGGGTTAAGGGGTCAAAGGTCAAGGTCACATTGACCTTGTAGGTAAAAACGGTTTCCGATCAATAACAAAAGAACCCTTAGGCCTAGGAACTTCAAACTTGATATGGTGATTGGTCATGATCAGCAGATGACCCCTATTGATTTTGGGGTCAAAGGTCAAGGTCACATTGACCTCTTAGGTTAAAACGGTTTCCGATCAATAACTAAAGAACCCTTAGGCCAAGGGACTTCAAACTTGGTATGGTGATTGGTCATGACCAGCAGATGACCCCTATTGATATTGGGGATAAGGGGTCAATGGGCAAGGTCACATTGACCTTGTAGGTAAAAATGCTTTACAATCAATAACTTAAGAACCCTTAGGCTTAGGAACTTCAAACTTGGTATAGTGATTTGTCATGACCAGCAGATGACCTATTGATTTTGGGGTCAAGGGGTCAAAGGTCAAGGTCACATTGACCTTGTAGGTAAAAATGGTTTCCGATCAATTAACTAAAAACGCTTAGGCCTAGGAACTTCAAACTTTGTATGATGATTAGTCATGACCAGCAGATGACCCCTATTGAGTTTTGGGTCAAGGGGTCAAAGGTCAAGGTCACATTGACCTTGTAAGTAAAAACGGTTTCAGATCAAAAACTTAAGAACGCTTAGGCCTAGGAACTTCAAACTTGGTATGGTGATTTGTCATGACCAGCAGATTACCCCTATTGATTTTGGGATCAAGGGGCCAAAAGTCAAGGTCACATTGACATTGTAAGTAAAAACGGTTTCTGATCAATAACTAAAGAACGCTTCGGCCTAGGAACTTCAAACTTGGCATGGTGATTGGTAATGACCAGCAGATGACCCCTATTGATTTTGGGGTCAAAGGTCAAGGTCACATTGACCTTGTATGTTAAAACGGTTTCCGATCAATAACTAAAGAACCCTTAGGCCTAGGAACTTCAAACTTGGTATGGTGATTGGTCATGACCAGCAGATGACCTATTGATTTTGGGTCAAGGGGTCAAAGGTCAAGGTTACATTGACCTTGTAGGTAAAAACGGTTTCCGATCAATTAACTAAAAACGCTTAGGCCTAGGAACTTCAAACTTTGTATGATGATTGGTCGTGACCAGCAGATGACCCCTATTGAGTTTTGGGTCAAGGGGTCAAAGGTTAAGGTCATGACCAGTAGATACTTGATAACCCTTATTAATTGTTTGATTACTGGGTCAGAAGTCATGCATAATAACCTTATCACATGACTAATTGGCTGCAGATAGGGGGCATACATGTTTTACAAACATATCTTGTTTGTTTGGAAAAGCTGTCTTGACAGCAATTTGTTTGGAATAGCTGATTTGGTAGCTATTTGTTTGGAAAAGCTGACTTGGTAGCAATTTGTTTGGAATAGCTGACTTGGTAGCAATTTGTTTGGAATAGCTGTCTTGATAGCAATTTGTTTGGAATAGCTGATTTGATAGTAATTTGTTTGGAATAGCTGTCTTTATATAGCAATTTGTTTGGAATAACTAACTTGGTAGCAATTTGTTTGGAATAGCTGACTTGGTAGCAATTTATTTGGAATAGCTGACTTGATAGCAATTTGTTTGGAGTAGCTTTTTTCTATCACTTTCATTTCTTTGAAAAGAACCAAGCTGTCCATGATCAAATTGGTTTTATAATTAGGTTATTTATAATCTAATACCATGATTTGTTAAATAGTTGGTAGATATACTTTTGATGTTACATTGCTTTTTTTCTAAAGTCTGTTTTTTCTTGTGCATGTAGTATATCTATATATGTATTTTTTTCTGCATCAGTTATTTATAAAAATAAAATAGTTGTTTATATATCTGCATTATTATGATAAAATTTGATACAGTTATTTGTGATACAGCTAGATTGAAAATATTAACTGATTATTTCAGCTATGTGGAGGTATAATGATTGGGATAGGTGTGTGGGCTTACATTGAGAAGAACAAGTACTACTACCAGTCAATTGAGGTATGAGCATGTCAAGTTAGTGATGTGTCACAGTCAGTGATTTTTCTCACTTAATTGGAAAGAAGCATTAGCCTCCTGATTTTGGGAAAAGAAATCCTAAAGTTGTTAATTTCGGAAGTAAAAAGCTTTTGTGACTTCAAAAGTTTGGGAAAACTGCATGATTTTAAAGAAAATTTCCATTAAGAAGAGGCCTTTTGTAAGTTTCTATTAAATAAGGTGAAAAATATCTATGTGCTTACCCTAAAATTGCTGAATTGGTGTTATGGATTTGTCTAGCTTTTTAATTAACTTGGACCAGTCCATTCAAAGTTTTAGAGATTTTGATATCAAATACAAAAGGTGATATACCAGGGCTCTACAATTTTTGTTAGGAAAAGAACTGACCGGGACCGATGATATACCAGGGCTCTACAATTTTTTGTTAGGAAAAGAACTGACCGGGACCGATGATATACCAGGCTCTACAATTTTTGTTAGGAAAAGAACTGACCGGGACCGATGATATACCAGGGCTCTACAATTTTTGTTAGGAAAAGAACTGACCGGACCGATGATATACCAGGGCTCTACAATTTTTGTTAGGAAAAGAACTGACCGGGACCGATGATATACCAGGGCTCTACAATTTTTGTTAGGAAAAGAACTGACCGGGACCGATGATATACCAGGGCTCTACAGATTTTGTTAGGAAAAGATTTGACCGGGACAACTGATCTAGCAAAATAGGCTTGTCCCAAAGTAGAGCCTGGTCAGAGTGCAGCATGAATGTGAAGATAGGCCTATACTGGTAGCAAAGCAAACCATTTTCTGTTCAAGCAGTGTACAGGTGTAAGTATGTACAGAAATCATAACAGAACTGGGAAATTTTCCAAATGTCAATATTTTAATAGAACCCTACTAGATGTCTTGATCGAATAACTTTGATATGCTAACATTTTTTTACAGATATTTAGATCTCTTATACTAGTTATTTGGTTAGAACTGATGATGTTTAGTTTACAAGTATTGAAGTGAAAGTTGACATAGAAAACAAGATAACATTTTAACTCTGCAGTTAAGTTTGACATTTCATATACATGTATATGTATGTATATTTGCTCTTTCAATTGTTTCTGATAGTTGCTGTTTTGTTATTACTGTTTGTAAATTATTTTGATGTACATGTATTGTTAAACTATGTCACATTTTTGTTTACATTTACAGACAATTTACGATGTTTTGTTGGACTTGTCTATCTTGCTCATCATAGTTGGTGCAGTGATATTTGTTGTGGGTTATGCAGGATGTGTTGGTGCTTTGAGAGAAAATCTTCTCCTGCTCAGGATTGTATGTACCAAATTATTTTTATCTTTATATATCATAATGCATATGAGCCGCGCCACGACAAAACCAACATAGTGGGTTTGCGACCAGCATGGATCCAGACCAGCCTGTGCCTCCGCGCAGTCTGATCAGGATTCATGCTGTTAGCTATCAGTTTCTCTACTTGTAATAGGGTTTGTAAGCGAACAGCATGGATCCTGATCAGACTGCGCGGATGTGCAGGCTGGTCTGGATCCATGCTGGTCGCAAACCCATTATTTTGGTTTTGTCATGGCTCATATATTACATACTTTACCTTAACTCTTACTATGTTAATTATCTTAAATTGACATATGTATGTGTGTATGTAGTCTATGTTTAACAAGGGTCCGTACGCCGGTAAGGCACAAAAAGCAGCTATCCCTGTAGAGTATGGACTCCAGACATGTCACCAGTCATGCCCTTAAAGGTTTGATTTTGAAGCACAAAGTGGTGATAATTTACCTCATTGCAATTTCCACGGAGTATTAGCTAAAGATGAGAATTTTGAGCCAAAAGGAGATCACTGTACAGTGGTCAAACAATGAGAACCTAAATGTACAGTAAACTGAGACAATAATGAAATGATTAAATTGACAGGTACATCTTTCAAATTGAATTAACCATTGTTTTGACTAACTGACTAGCAGACAGTATAGACCATGATGAGGACAACACTGGTGTGAGAACTGATCTTGGTCTTCACTGGTAACACGAGTCATTCTGTTGTTGCTAGCAGGCTTAGTTTTAATATTATAATTGTTGACAGTGATTTGTTCCCTTATATTTACAGCCAAAATAAAGCTTGTTTACCCTAGCCCAAAATAGGTAAAGTATCCCCTATATGAATATTGATGATGCATTATCCCCTGAAATGCCCTGTGCACATTCTTCACCAGAATGAAAGTTGGTAAATTTAGGTGACTGAAAGACAGAAAGCTGTCCCTATAGATAGCCTCTTCTATGTACAAAGCATTTTAAATTGAATTGAAATCAAAAATTTATCAAATGTGTGGGTAAATTCCATTCTCATTTGTTTGAAATTTTAGATTTTCCCCCTTTTTTGGTTTATGGTGGTATACTTTCCCCACCGTTTGTTTTGAAAATTCCAAAAAAATCACTTGTTGATTTGTCCTAATGCTTTTACTAAACAGAAAAAAAAGAACTACATGTATTCACTTAGTCTGTAAGTCATGCCAGCTTGAGAAAACGCAGTTTTGAATATAATATCCTTTCTTAATATAAAATATGCATTTTCTTGTCTCGTAGAAAATGTCTCTTATATAATATAAAACAGTGGTGTAATATTGTATATTTCAGTTTTACAGTATTATCATACTAATAGTGTTACTGGAGGTGACAATAGCTGTGCTAGCATTTGTGTTCAAAGATAAAATGCA